TTTGTTTCTGCTCTTTATAATCTTCTAATCTCTTGATTAGAAAATATCTCGGAATCTTCTAATTAGAAAAAGTTAACTGATGGAGAACTCAACTGAAGCTTTCTGGAGATTAAATTAAATAATGAAGAATGAAAAAAAGTAAATCAAGAGAAAAAAATGCGAAGCGTAAAGGAAACAAATAATTTGACGAAGGGTTCTTACTGGATATTCTATTTATTTTCTACTCTTTAGAATTTTCTAATCTGCCTGCTAGAGGAGACTTTGAAATCATCAGTTTTGAAGATGAATTAAAAACTGAGTGAGGGAGAAAAATTGGAAAATATAAAATAAAATAAAATAAAATAAAATAGACTCCACTAAACAGCTTTTACTAGACATTTTATCTAATTTCTGCTCTTTAGAATCTTTTAAGCAGAGAAAGTTCACTGAAGGAGAACTCGCTGAAACTTATTGGAGATTAAATTTCAGTTGTTAACAGTTTAGTTGTTAACAGTTTCAGTTATTAACAGTTCAGTTAATATGGCATAGGAATTAAAAAATGAACAAATGAACACAGAAGAAAACCTGGAGATTCTAAAGTAAAAATAAATAAAGGAGGAATAATTTAATGAAAAAGTCATATTAGATATATTCTTTCTGCTCTTTATAATCTTCTAATATCTTGATTAGAGAATATCTTGGAATCTTCTAATTAGAAAATGTTCGCTGATAGAGAGCTCAACTGAAAGTGTCTGAAGATTAAATTACAGTTAATAACGAAGAATGAAAAAGAGTAGATGAAAACAAAAAATTGCGAAACGTAAAGACAAAGAGCTCTTACTAGATATTCTATTTATTTTCTGCTCTATAGAATTTTCTAATCTGTCTAATAGATGCGACAAAGAGATAGAAATAGCTGCGAGATAAGAATCTGATAGATGCGAAAGAGGAGATGTTGAAATCATCTTATTAGAAAAATTTCACTGAAGGAAACCTCAACTAAAACTTGTTGGAGATTACATTCCAGTTAATATGTCAGAGGCATTAAAAATGAATAAACTAGAAAAGCTGCAGAATGTAAAGTAAAAAATAAACCGAGAAAGAAAGAAATAATTGATTTAATAACTCTTACTAGATATTCTATTAAATTTCTGCTCTTTAGAATCTTCCAATCTCCTAATTAGAGAAGTCCTTGGAATCTTTCAATCAGAGAAAGTTCACTGAAGGAGAACTAAGTTGAAACTTGTTTGAGATTAAATTCCAGTTAATATAGAAGAGAAATTTAAAAGTGAATGGAGGAGAAAAACTGGTAAATGTAAGTTAAAAATAAATAAAAAATTTAATTAACAACTCTTACTAGATATTATACCTAATTTCTACTCTTTAGAATCTACTAAGCAAAGAATGTTCACTGAAGGACAACTCACTGAAACTTCTTGGAGATTAAATTTCAGTTAATATGGCACAGGAATTAAAAAATGAACTGAAGAGAAAAACTGGAGATTTTAAAGTAAAAGTAAATAAAGGAGGAATAATAATTTAATGAAATCGTCATATTAGATATTTTATTTCTGCTCTTTATAATCTTCTAAACTCTTGATTAGAAAATATCTCGGAATCTTCTCATTAGAGAATTTTCACTGATAGAGAACTCAAACCTTCTGGGGATTAAATTACAGTTAATAATGAAGAATGAAAAAACGTAAATGAAGGAAAAAAATTGCGAAACGTAAAGGAAAAAAATAATTTGAAAAAGAGCTCTTAATAGATATTCTATTTATTTTTCTCTCTTTATAATTTTCTAATCTTCCTGCTAGAGGAGATGTTGAAATCATCTTAGAGAAATTTCACTGAAGGAGACCTCAACTAAAACTTGTTGGAGATTACATTCCATTTAATATGGCAGATGCATTAAAAATGAATAAACTAGATAAGCTGCAGAATGTAAAGTAAAAAATAAACAGAGAAAGAAAGAAATAATTGAGTTAATTAGTAGATATCGTATTAAATTTATGCTCTTTAAAATCTTCCAATCTCCTAATTAGAGAAGATTTTGGAATCTTTCAATCAGAGAAAGTTCACTGAAGGAGAACTCAGTTGAAGCTTGTTTGAGATTAAATTCCAGTTAATATGGAAGAGTAATTTAAAAGTGAATGGAGGGTAAAAACTGGGGATTGTAAGCTAAAAATAACAAAAGAATTTAATTAACAACTCTTACTATATTATACAACCTAATTTCTGCTCTTTAGATATTCCATAGCTCCTAAAGATTTTGCTCTTTAGAATCTTCCAAGCTCAAGATTTCAGAGAAGTTCACTGGAGAAATTCAGTTGAAATTTGTTTGAGATTAAATTCCAGTTAATATGGAAGAGTAATTTAAAAGTGAATGGAGGGTGAAAACTGGGGAATGTAAGCTAAAAATAACTAAAGAATTTAATTAACAACTTTTACTAGATATTATACCAAATTTCTGCTCTTTAGAATCTTCCAAGCTCCTAATTAGAGAAGATCTCGGAAACCTCCAACCATAGAACGTTCACTGACGGAGAACACAGTTGAAATTTGTTGGAGATTAAATTTCAATTAATACGGAAGAAGAGTTAGAAACTGAACGAAAAAGAACTGGTGAATGCAAAATAAAAATAAATAAATAAGTAAATGAAGAATTAATTAGCTAATTAGAATTAATTAATCTCACTAAATATCCTTTTAATTTCTGCTCTTTAGAATCTTTCAACGTCCAGATTAGAGTACGTGTGGATATCTTGCTATAAGCAAATGTTTACTGAAGAACTCAACTGAAATATGTTGGAGATTAATTCCAATTAATAATGAAAAATAAATAAAAGTAAATAAAGGAGAAAAAATAGGGAAAGTATGTGAAAAAGAAATTTAATAAACAACTCATACTATATATTCTGTTTTATTTCAGCTTTTTGAATCTTCTCACCTAATTAGAGACATCTCAGAATCTTATAACTAAAAGAAAGTTTACTGTAAGGAAACTCAACTAAAACTTGTAGATTAAATTCTAGTTTATATTGAAGATGAATTAAAAAGTGAATGAAGGAGAAAAGTTGGAGAATATAAAGTAAAAATAAGTAAAGAAAGAAGTAATTTAATAAACAGCTGCACCGTATATTACATTTAATTTCTGCTCTTTAGAATCTTTTAATTTCTTAATTAGAGAAGATCTCGGAATTATGTAATTAGAGAAAGTTCGTAGAAGGAGAATTCAACTGCAGCTTGTTGGAGATTAAATTCTAATTAATAATGAAGAATTAAAAACGTAAATATAGGCGAAAAGATGGAGAAAGTAAAGGAAAAAATAATTTAATAAACAAATCTTACTAGTTATTCTATTTAATTTCTTCTCTTTAGAATCTTCTATTCTCCTGATAAGAGGCGATATCGAAATCTTCTGATTGGAGAGAGTTCAGTGAAGGAGAACTCAACTGAAACTTGTTGGAGATTAAATTCTAATTAATACTGAAAAATTAAAAAAGTAAATAAAGGCGAAAAGATGGAGAAAGTAAAGGAAAAAATAATTTAATAAACAAATCTTGCTAGTTATTCTATTTACTTTCTGCTCTTTAGAATCTTCTATTCTCCTGATAAGAGGCGATATCGAAATCTTCTGATTGGAGAGAGTTCAGTGATGGAGAACTCAACTGAAACTTGTTGGAGATTAAATTCTAATTAATAATGAAGAATTAGAAAAGTAAATAAAGTCAAAAAGATGGAGAAAGTAAAGGAAAAAATAATTTAATAAACAAATCTTACTAGTTATTCCGTTTAAATTCTGCTCTTTAGAATCTTCTATTCTCCTGATAAGAGGCGATATCGAAATCCTATGATTGCAGAGAGTTCAGTGAAGGAGAACTCAACTGGAACTTGTTGGAGATTAAATTCTAATTAATAATGAGCAATTAAAAAAGTAAATGCAGGCGAAAAAGTTGAAAATAAAAAGGAAAAAAAGAATAATTTAATAAACATGTCTGAGTAGATATTCTATCAAGTTCCTGCGATTTAGAATATTCCGATCTCCTAATTAGAGAAACTCTGGTAATCATCTAATTAGAGAATGTTTACTCAAGGGGAACTCAACTGAAACTTGTTGGTGATTAAATTCTTGTTAGTAAGAAAGAATTAAAAAATGTAAATAAAGGAGAAAACCTGGATAATGTAAAGTGAAGATAAATAAAGAAAGAATTTACTAAACAACTCTACTAGATATTCTATTTAATTTCTAATTTCTGCTAGTTAGAATTTTATAATCTCCTCGTTAAAAAATATCTCGAAATCTTCTAATTAGAGGAAATTCACTAAAGAAGAATTCAACTGATTGGAATTTTAATTCTAATTAATTATGAAAAATTTTAAATAAGTAAATAAAGGCCAAAATGTAGAAAAATGAAAGAAAAGATAATTTAATAACCAATTCTTACTATATATTCTATTTAAAATCTACTTTTTAAAATCTTCTAGTTTCCTGATTGGAGAGAAGTCACTGAAGGAGAGCTCAACTGAACCTTGTTGGAGATTAAATTTCAATTAATAATGGAGAATTAAAAAAAGTAAAGGAAGACAAAAAGGTGGAGAATATAAAGGGAAAAAAAGAATAATTTAATAAACAACCTTTATTTTCCCCTGCTGCTTTGAAGATGGCACACTTGTTCCTGGTATTTCTCGATACCTTTGGATCCGATGCTCCTTCTAAGTCAGCTTCTATGTAATGATGCAATCTAAATAGCCATGAAATATTTTATTTATATACCGTCCCGTGTTCCAATCTGGCCAACAGCGGTGAGCTTTAAACACCGAAATGTAGAGGGGGTGGTGCAGGGGAAACAAAGCCTCACGATCGACGGGGGAGTCACAAGCAAAGGGGAGGGCAGGAATAGAAGAAAAGTCTCGGAAAAAAACTTCTCACGTTAATGCCGTGACCTCACAAACCGCGGGTTCATGTATAAAAGCTATGGTCTCCCTTGAAGTGAAGATCAGTAAGGCACAAAGCAGACCCTAATATAGAGGGCTTGTCTTTACAGAAGGTTGGACTTTTAAGTATGCAACGTGAGTTCGCGCAGGCATTTGCATATGGTTACCGCATTACGGTACTGACCAGTGTTACGCAACCTATATCTTGTAAATGATGAATGCGGCTGAATTGGTGAGCCACATATCTCTTGGAATATAGTGTACCATAGAATAAACGTCATGGCTTTAGTGGTAAGTCAATAATTTCGCCATTGATTAACATTTCTACCCTAAATATCTCTATTAAACCTTTATTTATTAAATTACTTTAATTAAAATTATTTAATAAAAAATCCTTTATTTGAAAATTATGGCTTTAATTAATTTGTAAATTAATAAACGTATGGCTTAGTGGTATCAAAATTTCAGTAAGTCAATAATTTCGCTTCGATTATATTTCTACCCTAAATATCTCTATTAAACCTTTATTTATTAAATTACTTTAATTAAAATTATTAATAAAAAATCCTTTATTTGTAAAATTATGCCTTTAATTAATATTTGTAAATTCAAAAATAAAAAAAAAATTCATGTATTTAATTTAAAGAACAGATAACTTACAATGTGGGTATAATTACAATATTTTAATTACTCTTATTGCATGAAATGTGCAGTAGACATATTTTATGAAAACTTCTGATGATAGGAACATGGAAATAAAATTCAGGTAATAAAATTAATTACTATAAAATGTGGAAATTGAGAATGAATTAATAGTTAAAGGAAAAAAGTCTGAAAGGTTTTTTTCTGAGTTTAAAAGTCACTTAAAAGGGTTTATTAAGGTTTTATATGCTTTCGCTGAGCTAGCAGTTTACCAGTCCGCTTTTCTACTAACCCCCCCTTTTTTTTAGCTTTATTATTAAGCATCATATTCTTCGCACTTAAGCCACATAGAATTCAACATCAAAATTACAACAAATTTTTAAAGCAGCATAGCAATATACGTTTAGAATTCCTTTCTGACTTAAAAGGGTTTATTAAGGTTTTATACGCTTTCGCTGAGCTTGCAGTCTACCAGTCTGCTCTTCTTTACTAACCCATTTTTTTGTTTGTTTGTTTTAGCTTTATTATTAAGCATTATATTTTTTTGCACTTAAGCCATATAGAATTCAAAATCAAAATTACAACAAATTTTTAAAGCAGCATAGCAATATACGTTTAGAATTCAGATGCAGCAAGTGTTGGCATACATTTTTCTGTTTTTTTTTTCAGCATTTTCTCAGTTTATCATATCAATATTCCTTTCTCTTACTAAGATTGGTTTACAATACATTTGTTTTTATATTATTAACGTTTTGTGCATTTACTTTATTTATTAAATATTATATTCTTGACGCTTACGTCACATAAATTTTGCTTCAACATCAAATCACAAAATATTTAAAAACAGCATATCTTTAGAATCTCCAATAGACAGTCTCCCGCGCTGGGGAGAAAAATGTTTTCTTCCGTACAGTGTTGCCATTGCTCGTTCTGAAATCGTTGAGTTTTTTAATCAAACATTCGTTTAAGTTTTGCAAAATATGGAATAGGTGATAAAACAAATTCGAAATTCAAAATTCGGGCCACACGGTGCCCATATTCGGGTGGGAGGGCTACGATATTCAAATTTTGATGGGTCTAGGTACCGTTGTTTTTTCTCAATGCTAGAAACATGCTTACATTCATGAAAATTTTCCGTTACTTAGTTCCTTTAAGTATAAAAAAGGCTATGATATTTGATGGCAGCAATTTGAAAAGTGATATACCATTTGTAGTGATTCCAGTCTAATATCCCATTCCGGACTAACTTTCCTTTCGGGCTCAGAAAAAAAAAAAAAAAAAAAAAAAAAAAACTGAAATTTTTCAGATTTTAAATTACGTCCGAAGGGGCGTTTTTTTAACGTTTTGAGTGTTACCTTTATTTATTAAATATAATGTTCTTTTGCACTTAAACCATAAAAATTCAGTTCATAAGCAATATCGCAAAATAATGTTTAAATTAAGCATATCTTTAGAATTTCCGATATACACAGTCTCGCGAGCTGGAGATAAAAGTATTTTTTTTATATAACGTTGCCATTTCTCGCTTTTAAAAGCATTGAGTTTGTAAATCAAAAATTCGTTTAAAGTTTTACAAAAATATAAAATCTATAATAAAACAAATTCCAAATTTGGGATTTCAGATGCCCATTTCGGAGGAGGATTTCGCTATTCAAAATTATATGGCTCTATGGTACCGTTATTTTATCTTAATGCCAGAAACATGCATACATTTATGCAGGTTTTTCATTGTTTAATCTCTTCAAATATAATGCAGGGCGATAATATTTTGGTGGCAACAAATTTGAAAATTGAAACCGAACATTTATAATGAATCCCGAACGCAAAATTGCCAAAACGAAATTAATAGTCCCTTCGGGCAAGCTGAAATCCCTTTTGGACTAAAAATCCTCTATGAATGCAATACTATATCTCTAATTAATGTCTTCAAAAGATATATAAAATGGACATGTTCAAATGACCATTTCTTCGAGAAACTCTAACACATAAAAAAATTAGAGTTTTAATTTGCTTTATTTAAAATTGCATTATTATACTTACGTTATCACTGAATTAAAATTTAGAACATATAATGCTATTATTGCTTATATTAGCTTGAAATAAAAACTGTATTTAATTCAAGCACCAATTATTCATAAAAAGTTATATTTGTATATATTCACGTGGGAACACACAATTTACAAATTCCGTTTACCTTGAAATATTCTTAACAAGAAAAAAAAGAAAGAAAGTTTCAAAATAGGGTATTTTTACTGAAATCGAAACATTAAGAAAAAGTAATTACATTTATTTCATTTTAAATCTCATAGAATGTAAAGTTAATTCTACATGGGAGAGAAATTTAGAAATTCTCTGCATTAGGAAGATTTCATAGTGACAAATACATAAAATGAAATGTTTCTGTAACTTTGCTTCTGTAAAATTGTTTGCCTTTTTTAAGTTTAATAATTAGAACTGTGGGTTTTATATCGGCGAATCGAAGCAGTACTAATTATTTAAGAAAAGAATAGGCTGCAGAAAAGATGAAAATTAATGTATTAAAAATTAGTAAAGCATCCATTAAGTTTGAGACTGCATAAAATTATCGAAAAATGTTCCAAAATGTTTTATGAGTTTATATTTAATATTGAGAAACTTTTATAAATTGATGTTTAAAATTCTGGCTCACGAAATCACAGAACAAAATAGGGAAGAGCTTCAGAAATTATATGTGTGCGGAAAAATTAAATCACTTAACTGGTTAATCATGAAATATTTACATTCAATATTTACATTCATTAATTACATAATTTTACATAGCAGCATCTTTAAAAATAAAAGATCATCAGAAATTATACTGTTTACGAAAAATCAAAGAACTCGAATTAAAAAAAAATCCTTTATTTCGTTACTCAAGAATAAATATGTATAAAATTCTAAAAATTTGAAATTCTTCTGATTTAACGGTCGTTCAGATAAGTTTTGTTTAGTTTTTTATAATCTTGCTAAGCTCGTAGTCTGCAAGTCTGCTCCTGCCTTCATTCCAAATAAAACATTTTTTTTTGTCTTTTTAGCTTTATTATTAAATATCAATTTTTATGCACTAACGCCACATACAGTTCAACAGCAAAATCACAAAATTTAATTCCAAATGCAGTGTTGAGTGTTGCCATATATTTAGTGTTATTAATCCAGCTAGTGAGTTTAGTTAAAAAATTTGAAACATAGACATATGATTGTTTTGATATATGTTCATTTTATCAATCACATTAAAAAGTAGAAAAATATTCTTAAGAACTGTGTTTATTGCTTTCAAAGCGCTTAGTTTATTACTCAATAAACTTCCAGATTAAATTTCAAATTATCTTAGGACTGAAAGACAACATTCTAAATAATGGAAGATAAAACTATTTTATTTTTCGGCTGCAGCAACACATTGCACTCACAGCGCCGAATTTGTTAATTAAAATTGAAAGATGTTGTAATAAAATATGATAAGAATTGGAAGATAAATATGTTACACTTTTCCGAATGGCAAAAGTTCCGCGAGCTGGAGATAAAAACTTTTCCCTTCCATCGCTCGCTTTCAGATTATTGAGTTTGTTCATCAAAAATTAATTAAAATCTTACAAAATATGAAATGAATAATAAAACAAGTTTCATACTCAAAATTCCGTCTGCCAAGTGTGGTGGAAGTGTGGGGGGGAAGATTACGTTATTTAAATCTATTTAGATGGCTCGCTTCGTTACTTTCAATTCCGAGGAATATACTCAAAATTCCGTCTGCCAATGTGGTGGGAAAGGTGGTGGGGGGAAGATTTACGTTATTAAAATTACATGCTCTGCTTTCGTTTTTTCACATTCCGAGGAATATACTCAAAAATTCCGTCTGTTCAAGTGTGTGTGGTGGAAGGTGGTGGGGGGAAGATTACGTTATTTAAAATTAGATGGCTCTGCTTTCGTTTTTTCACATTCCGAGGATATACTCAAAATTCCGTCTGCCAAGTGTGGTGGAAGGTGGTGGGGGGAAGATTACGTTATTTAAAATTAGATGGCTCTGCTTTCGTTTTTTCACATTCCGAGGGAATATACTCAAAATTCCGTCTGCCAAGTGTGGTGGAAGGGGTGGGGGGGGAGATTACGTTATTTAAAATTAGATGGCTCTGCTTTCGTTTTTTCACATTCCGAGGAATATACTCAAAATTCCGTCTGCCAAGTGTGGTGGAAGGTGGTGGGGGGAAGATTACGTTATTTAAAATTAGATGGCTCTGCTTTCGTTTTTTCACATTCCGAGGAATATACTCAAAATTCCGTCTGCCAAGTGTGGTGGAAGGTGGTGGGGGGAAGATTACGTTATTTAAAATTAGATGGCTCTGCTTTCGTTTTTTCACATTCCGAGGGATATACTCAAAATTCCGTCTGCCAAGTGTGGTGGAAGGTGGGGGTGGGGAGATTAAATTATATAACAGAGGGCTTCTTTGGTTTTCACATTCCGATTATTTACGTTATTAAAATTAGATGGCTCTGTTTCGTTTTTCACATTCCGAGGATATACTCAAAATTCCGTCTGCCAAGTGTGGTGGAAGGTGTGGTGGTGGGGAAGATTACGTTATTTAAAATTAGATGGCTCTGCTTTCGTTTTTTCACATTCCGAGGAATATACATACATG